AATCCTTATGTCCTAATCATCCAAGCTCGTCCTACCATCCTCCGCAACCGAACACTCCTGTTGAAATAGCTACCAATCCATTAGAAGACGGCCACCCGCTCTCGTCACAGAAGTCACCAAGAAACACGACGAAACGGCACCAAATAGCACGGCAGAAGCGGGCTCTCAAACGTTTAGTCGCGGGGCGCGACTATAAAAAGAGGTCTGAAAATGTAACGCAGATGCGTTACATTTTTTCATCTTTCATGCTGAACTGCAAGCTGTGCCACAAGCTGAAACACGGCCATCTGCGAGCGCCGCACAGACACGGTCAGCCGGCTAAATCGGCTATGATACCCTCTCTCCGTCCCAGCTGGCGTCCACACAGACGGCGCAGTCGGCTCTGACAAACAGGGGTCCTCTATAGATGACCACCCCACTTCATGAGAACCCGGATCTGAAGCCAACAAATAGCATACCGAAACGCGCCATTCTGCCAGCCTCGAGCCATTAATCAGTTTAGCCTTTGGAAAACAAGACTCTGTCCCACGCTCGGCACCCCGCCAGAGAACAAGGAGAGGGGAGTGCAGACCGGCCCTGATTTGAACCAAAACAAGAAAGGGGAGCGGAGACCGACCCGGTTTGTACGAAAACAGGATGAAATGGAACTCGGTCGCCAACGACAAAATATAGGACATCTGGCCGGACCTGACTTCAAAACAAGGGGAGCAGAGGGCCAGGCCCGCCACCTGGCGCCTCAGGCGCCGTGAGCGCCGGCGGCGAATTCCACCCGATCGCTGCGTGAAAGGGTGCGACTGCCATGGCCGGAGGGGAACCGAACTTTGTCAGCAAATCACGAACTTTCGAGGGCGGAGCCGAGTGCAGCTTCTGAGAATGGAGGACGGAGATTGGACAAGGTGATGCTGCCCGGCCCTCTGAAGTATGACGTCATCAGAAGTATAAGTTGATGAAACGGAACTGAAAAGCTCTCTCGGACGACGCATTCCGGGCTCTCTGGCTCTCTCTCGGACGACGGATTCCACGCCGCTCTTCGCTCTCGGCTCACATCTGACACCGTGGACAGCCCACGAGAGACCAGCGGCAGGCATCACGGCGCGGCGGCGGCTCTGGCCGCCGGGCCGGGCGCTGGACGGACACGGCCATCATGTCAGCGACTCCATCTCAAGTAAGGTCACGCGGTGAACACGGGTGCGCACCTAGTCCCTAAATCCTTCAAGTACACCCCCCCCCCCCTCCCTCGTTACTGCTATGTGAGCCACATTATATTCCCCTTTTTTTGTGTCGTCCGCAATATTTTAGGCCATTCAGCTTAGGTAGTTCGATTTATTCTTGGGACTTTCAGTCTAGGTAGCTTAAGTTCACAATTCGATCTCGGTCAATTATGTAACTGTGCGCGTGGTGCGAGACGCGTGCCGACGTGAACCCTCGTCCGGCGCCCCGTGGTGATTAAGGCGGACGGAGGGGATTATGCACCGTGGGGAGTCGGGAAAGGGACGGGCGGGCGACGCGACTGTGTACCGCACCGCGCGGCTTGTGGGGCTCAGTTGATGGGCGGCCTGGGCCCAGAATGTTTCCTTTAAATTTGACTTGTAAGGGAATTTAAGGTGTTGCGTCGGAGTATGTAAATAAATGGGACTTGTAAATATTGAAATACGAGTGTGAGTAGTGCTGAAGGGGCAGGGATCGGAGGATGGAGCATAAAAGGCCATATGCTAACCCACAGTCAGGAAAGAGGTCGTTTCCAAGGTGTCCGGCCAGAGTAATTTACAACGATCAGTTCTCTTTATCTGTTGAGTTTACACAGTGCACAAAGCGATTATACACAACACATGCAGGGCCTCCCTAGCCTAGCCGATACTGGAGCTTCTCCGGTTGACTCCTAAGTGCCCTTGCCAGTGGATTTCCTGGCACTCCATCCTCCCCAAATTATCCCACGGTCCAAACAATAGCGATTACACACAACACCCACAGGACCTCCCTAGCCTAGCCGATACTGGAGCTTCTCCGGTTGACTCCTAAGTGCCCTTGCCAGTGGATTTCCTGGCACTCCATCCTCCCCAAATTATCCCACGGTCCAAACAATAGCGATTACACACAACACCCACAGGACCTCCCTAGCCTAGCCGATACTGGAGCTTCTCCGGTTGACTCCTAAGTGCCCTTGCCAGTGGATTTCCTGGCACTCCATCCTCCCCAAATTATCCCACGGTCCAACAATAGCGATTATACACAACACACACAGGACCTCCCTAGCCTAGCCGATACTGGAGCTTCTCCGGTTGACTCCTAAGTGCCCTTGCCAGTGGATTTCCTGGCACTCCATCCTCCCCAAATTATCCCACGGTCCAAACAATAGCGATTACACACAATACACACAGGACCTCCCTAGCCTAACCGATACTGGAGCTTCTCCGGTTGACTCCTAAGTGCCCTTGCCAGTGGATTTCCTGGCACTCCATCCTCCCCAAATTATCCCACGGTCCAAACAATAGCGATTATACACAACACATACAGGACCTCCCTAGCCTAACCGATACTGGAGCTTCTCCGGTTGACTCCTAAGTGCCCTTGCCAGTGGATTTCCTGGCACTCCATCCTCCCCAAATTATCCCACGGTCCAAATGATAGCGATTATACACAACACATACGGGACCTCCCTAGTCCAACCGATACTGGAGCTTCTCCGGTTGACTCCCAAGTGCCCTCGCCAGCGGATTTCCTGGCGCTCTACCCTATCCAGCGGTCCGAATATAAGGAGCACACATAGACCTTGCCGCACACGAAATATTTGTAACTTTACCCCACATGGACACTGGGGACACTGCAAGGGACGGAACCGGGGAGATAGATGATGCACGTCACGCCCCTGTGCGTGGAAAGTCCACCGACGCGGCCATGGGTTAGGAGGGAGATGAGAAGCGAGTGAAATGGAATGGAAGACTGTACACGTAGAGGAATCGGATTTCCTGAATGAAGCTCAGCTCGGATAGACCCCACTTAAATAGTAGGCCTCGCTTGGGTAAGCCCTGGATACGTGCAATAAGTCGCGAAGTGAAGAGAAAGGGTGAGAGCGAGTTGAGGATCGATTATTGAGGATGAGTGCATAGCCGACGAAGGCTAATCCGTTCGGTTGCCGGCGCGGGCCCCATAAAGCCGTGGCTATACGGAGACGATGCAGGCAGCCCGGAGGGACCTAGTGACCCCGCCCGGTTTTAAAAGATAGGTTAGGTCCGCTATCGGTCCATTGAGTGATCAGCGCAGGATGACATTCGATAAGCGACGTAGGTAGTTTCGGAGATGGTTAGGACCCCAGGCGTCCCAGCGAGGAGACGTATGCCGCCGGTTAAGTAATGTCCCGCGAAGAAACGTGTGATGCTGCAGGACGGGGGTGAACATTAAATACCAAAGCATGCGAGTCGGGTGATCGCGGTAAGTCGGTACTGGCCACCCCGCTGTCAGTCGATTTACTCCGGCCGTGCAGCGGTCATTTCGGTTAGGTCTGTGACGACAGCTTAACTACCAGCAACGGATAGATAGGGCTTCGGGCACCTATAACGCTGGTAGTCGTGGATTGTGTGAAGCCAACGGAGGCTTACCCGTTCGGTCGCCGGTGCTGTTCCGAAAGCCGTGGCTATACGGAGACGATGCAGGCAGCCCGGACGGACCTAGTTACCCAGCCCGGTTTCAAAGTTTAGATAAGCCCACCGCGGGCCGTGGTACGCTTAGTTTTCGTTTTCTTATAGGCAATTTGGCATAACTGGTAGTCATGGATTCGTGTAAAGCCGACGAACGACTAATCCCTTTCGGTCGCCGGGGGCTGGCCCGAAAACCGCGGCTATACGGAGACGACGCAGGCAGCCCGGACGGACCTTAGTTACCCAGCCCCGGTCTCAAATTTCAAATAAGTCCCCCGCGGAAACCGGACTACACAGTGTCCTGCGAGCCGTAGTCTCGGAACCGCTGGCCGAAGGACATTTATGTTTTTTTTGTGTAGGTAGTTCGACATGGTGATGGGATGGACCGCAATAAGTCACGTAAGGCGAGGGTCGAGTGCCGAAATCTGTGGTGGGTCGTATCTCTAATTGTGTAGCGTGAGCATTATGAAGCGTTTGTCTGATGTACGGAACATTGTGGTTATGAAGGGATAATGGTTAAATGAAATTTAAGGCCAATGACTCGATAACGACTTTGCGCGCGCCCTAGCACCACCGGGGGAAGTTAGGAAAAAGGGGAGGGACCGGAGATGGTCAACTCTGGTAAATTACGAGGTAAAAGTGGACGAATGGCAGGGTTGTAAGGGGATGGATAAATGGACGAATGATTGATACATATATCTGGTGGGAGATGACCCTCAAGCTAGGAAGGGCGCTGTTGTTTGAGAGTGGGACCTTGGGTTATGTAGAGTTGAGTTCTTATGTCAATGTGATCAAGGAAAATGGGTTATTATTTATCTCTCCTCCCATTCCTTAACCCTGGCCTATGTGTTTCCGATGATTGATCGCCCCGGAAAGATAGAGTCAGAGTCGGAACGGGTTCGTGAAGGGGTTGTACAGTGAAGGGCTTCTAGGAGCGCACCGACGGAGTTCTTGCTCTCTATCTATCTAAGAAGACACTGCCCGGTTAGCCCCGCAACGCCGCGAAACCCCGCTACAGTTACTCTGGCTCCCCGTGGGAGGTACTATAGCTCCCCGTGGAGAGGTACTATAGCTCCCCGTGGAGAGGTACTATAGCTCACCATGGGGGGGGGGGCACTATAGCTCACCGTGGATAGATACTGTAGCTCACCGAGGGGGGGGGGGGTACTATAGCTCACCGTGGAGAGATACTGTAGCTCACCGAGGGGGGGGGGGTACTATAGCTCACCGTGGAGAGATACTGTAGCTCACGGGGGGGGGGGGTACCATAGCTCACCGTGGGAGGTACTATAGCTCACCGTGGAGAGGTACCATAGCTCACCGTGGAGAGGTACTATAGCTCACCGTGGGGGTACTATGGCTCACCGTGGAGAGGTACTCGGAGAGAGTCTCGGCGATGTCTCGTCGCGTCACCACGGCCGACATCGGGTGGCCGTTCCCCAGCGTGCCGCCCAGGGTGACAATGTCCGGCACCACGCCGTACGACTGTGGGGACAACGTGGGGACGCGGACAGTGTGTCAATGTGGGGACACGGACAGACAGTGTGTCAATGTGGGGACACGGACAGACAGTGTGTCAATGTGGGGACACGGACAGACAGTGTGTCAATGTGGGGACACGGAGAGTGTGACAATGTGGGGACACGGACGGACAGTGTGACAATGTGGGGACACGGACAGACAGTGTGACAATGTGGGGACACGGACGGACAGTGTGACAATGTGGGGACACGGACAGACGGTGTGACAATGTGGGGACACGGACAGACGGTGTGACAATGTGGGGACAGGGACAGTGTGACAATGTGGGGACACGGACGGACAGTGTGACAATGTGGGGACACGGACAGACAGTGTGACAATGTGGGGACACGGACGGACAGTGTGACAATGTGGGGACACGGACGGACAGTGTGACAATGTGGGGACACGGACAGACGGTGTGACAATGTGGGGACACGGACAGACGGTGTGACAATGTGGGGACAGGGACAGTGTGACAATGTGGGAACACGGATGGACAGTGTGACAATGTGGGGACACGGACAGACGGTGTGACAATGTGGGGACAGGGACAGTGTGACAATGTGGGAACACGGATGGACAGTGTGACAATGTGGGGACACGGACAGTGTGACAATGTGGGGACACGGACAGACAGTGTGACAATGTGGGTACACGGACAGACAGTGTGACAATGTGGGGACACAGACAGTGTGTCAATGTGGGGACACGGACAGACAGTGTGACAATGTGGGGACACGGACAGACAGTGTGACAATGTGGGGACACGGACAGACAGTGTGACAATGTGGGGACACGGACAGTGTGTCAATGTGGGGACACGGACAGACAGTGTGACAATGTGGGGACATAGACAGTGTGTCAATGTGGGGACACGGACAGACAGTGTGACAATGTGGGGACACGGACAGACAGTGTGACAATGTGGGGACACGGACAGACAGTGTGACAATGTGGGGACACAGACAGTGTCAATGTGGGGACACGGACAGACAGTGTGACAATGTGGGGACACGGACAGACAGTGTGACAATGTGGGGACACGGACAGACAGTGTGACAATGTGGGGACACGGACAGACAGTGTGACAATGTGGGGACACGGAGAGTGTGACAATGTGGGGACACGGACAGACAGTGTGACAATGTGGGGACACGGACAGTGTGACAATGTGGGGACACGGACAGACAGTGTGACAATGTGGGGACACGGAAAGTGTGACAATGTGGGGACACGGACAGACAGTGTGACAATGTGGGGACACGGACAGACAGTGTGACAATGTGGGGACACGGACAGACAGTGTGACAATGTGGGGACACGGAGAGTGTGACAATGTGGGGACACGGACAGACAGTGTGACAATGTGGGGACACGGACAGTGTGACAATGTGGGGACACGGACAGACAGTGTGACAATGTGGGGACACGGAGAGTGTGACAATGTGGGGACACGGATGGACAGTGTGACAATGTGGGGACACGGAGAGTGTGACAATAAGGGGACACGGACAGTTGCGACAAATCTACACACAACAGATAAATCTGGTGGCAGAGGGCGGCATGAGGCACAGTACAAGACCGGCCGTCAGGACTACACACCAGAAAGCAATACACGGGGTTACATGGTATGTAGATACTAACAGCATACATTTGATTACATAAGCATAGGACATTATTCATAATACACTGAAATCCCAGGAGCTATGTATGGAAGACTTTGTCAAGTCAGACACCACAAAAAGCAGTTGTCTGTGTGAGGGGGAGGGGCAATTTCTGTCTGTGGGAGGTCAGTCCCCGCCCTGTGGGAGGTCAGTACCCGCTCTGTGGGAGGTCAGTCCCCGCTCTGCGGGGGGTCGGTACCCGCTCTGTGGGAGGTCAGTCCCTGTCTATGGGAGGTCAGTCCCTGCTCTGTGGGAGGTCAGTCCCTGTCTGTGGAAGGACAGTCCCTGTCTGCGAGAGGTCAGTCCCTGCTCTGTGGGAGCAGGGACTGTCCATGCTCTGTGGGAGGTCAGTCCCTGCTCTGTGGGAGGTCAGTCTCTGTCTGTGTGAGGACAGTCTCTGTCTGTGGGAGGACAGTCCCTGCTCTGTGGGAGGACAGTCCCTGCTCTGTGGGAGGTCAGTCCCCGCTCTGCGGGGGGTCGGTCCCCGCTCTGCGGGGGGTCAGTCCCCGCTCTGTGGGAGGTCAGTCCCCCTCTGTGGGAGGTCAGTCCCCCTCTGTGGAAGGACAGTCCCTGCTCTGTGGGAGGTCGGTCCCCGCTCTGCGGGGGGTCGGTCCCCGCTCTGCGGGGGGTCAGTCCCCGCTCTGTGGGAGGTCAGTCCCCCTCTGTGGGAGGTCAGTCCCCCTCTGTGGAAGGACAGTCCCTGCTCTGTGGGAGGTCGGTCCCCGCTCTGTGGGAGGTCAGTCCCCGCTCTGTGGGAGGACAGTCCCTGCTCTGTGGGAGGCCAGTCCCCGCCCTGTGGGAGGACAGTCCCTGTCTGTGGGAGGACAGTCCCCGCCCTGTGGGAGGACAGTCCCCGCCCTGTGGGAGGACAGTCCCCGCCCTGTCTGCCGCTGTCTGGGGAGCCGCTGCGGTCGCGGCGCTCACCTCGAAGGCCCACGTGTGGGTGCCGATCCGTCCCAGCCCGGTGGCCACCTCGTCCATAACGCACACGCCGCCGCGCGCCCGCACCAGGCTGCAACAGACGGCCAGTCACAAACAGCACTGCGCCCGCACCAGGCTGCAACAGACAGACCATCACAAACACAGCACTGCGCCCGCACCAGGCTGCAACAGACGGCCAGTCACAAACACAGACAGTCACAAACACAGACAGCCTGCCACAAATACAGACAGTAACATACACAGACAGCCTGCCACAAACACAGACAGTAACAAACACAGGCGGCCAGTCACAAACACAGACAGTAACAAACACAGACAGCCTGCCACAAACACAGACAGTAACAAACACAGACGGCCTGCCACAAACACAGTACTGCGGCCGCACCAGGCTGCAACAGACGGCCAGTCACAAACACATACAGTCACAAACACAGACAGTAACAAACACAGACAGCCTGCCACAAACACAGACAGTAACAAACACAGACAGCCTGCCACAAACACAGACAGTAACAAACCACAGACAGTAACAAACACAGACAGCCTGCCACAAACACAGACAGTAACAAACACAGACAGCCTGCCACAAACACAGACAGTAACAAACACAGGCGGCCTGCCACAAACACAGCACTGCGGCCGCACCAGGCTGCAACAGACGGCCAGTCACAAACACAGACAGTAACAAACACAGGCAGTAACAAACACAGACAGCCTGCCACAAACACAGACAGTAACAAACACAGACGGCCTGCCACAAACACATACAGTCACAAACACAGACGGCCTGCCACAAACACAGACAGTAACAAACACAGGCGGCCTGCCACAAACACAGACGGTCTGTCACAAACACAGACAGTAACAAACACAGACAGCCTGTCAAAAACACAGACAGTAACAAACACAGACAGCCTGCCACAAACACAGACAGCAACAAACACAGACAGCCTGCCACAAACACAGACAGTAACAAACACAGACAGCCTGCCACAAACACAGACAGTAACAAACACAGACGGCCTGCCACAAACACAGCATTGCGGCCGCACCAGGCTGCAACAGACGGCCAGTCACAAAACACAGACAGTAACAAACACAGACGGCCTGCCACAAACACAGGCAGTAACAAACACAGACAGCCTGCCACAAACACAGACAGTAACAAACACAGACAGTAACAAACACAGACGGCCTGCCACAAACACAGACAGTAACAAACACAGACGGCCAGTCACAAACACATACAGTCACAAACACAGACGGCCAGTCACAAACACAGACAGTAACAAACACAGACAGCCTGCCACAAACACAGCACTGCGCCCGCACCAGGCTGCAACAGACAGACCATCACAAACACAGCACTGCGGCCGCACCAGGCTGCAACAGACGGCCAGTCACAAACACAGACGACCAGTCACAAACACAGACAGTAGCAAACACAGACGGCCTGCCACAAACACAGACAGTAGCAAACACAGACAGCCTGCCACAAACACAGCACTGCGGCCGCACCAGGCTGTAGCAGACAGTCTGACACAAACACAGAACACCGTCGAAAACGCTGCCCGTACGCTACCCGAGTGCTGCCCTTGCGCGGCCCTCACGCTACCCCGGTGCCCACCTGTAGACCCGTCGGAAATAGTCCTCGGGCGGCGCCACCATGCCGCACTGGGTCACCAGACACTCGGACATAAAGGCGGCCACGCGGCGGCCCTCTGACTCCATCCGCTCCAGCAGCCGCTCCACGTGCTGCGCGTAGCGCGCCCCTGAGGGTGACACACGGCCGGTCACTGTACAATGTACATACACTCAGTGCAGTACACACAGTACACACAGTACACACAGTACAGTACACAGTGCTGCGTGCCCCGCGCCCCTGCGAGCGACACTCGGCCGGTCACAGTACACTCAGTGCAGTACACACAGTACAGTATACAGTACTGCGCGCCCCGCGCTCCTGCGGGCGACACACGGCCGGTCATTGTACACTCAGTGTAGTACACACAGTACACACAGTACACACAGTACAGTACACAGTGCTGCGCGTAGCGCGCCCCTGAGGGTGACACACGGCCGGTCACTGTACATACACTCAGTGCAGTACACACAGTACACACAGTACAGTACACAGTGCTGCGACACACGGCCGGTCACTGTACACACAGTATAGTACACAGTGCTGCGCGTAGCGCGCCCCTGAGGGTGACACACGGCCGGTCACTGTACATACACTCAGTGTAGTACACACAGTACACACAGTACAGTATACAGTGCTGCGCGTAGCGCGCCCCTGTGGGCGACACACACGGGTCACTGTACACTCAGTACAGTACACACAGTACACACGGTACAGTACACAGTGCTGCGCGTAGCGCGCCCCTGTGGGCGACACACACGGGTCACTGATCCACGCCACTGTGGGATACATCGGTCACTATAGACATAGAGTCACACACGTACCGCGCTCCTGTGGGTAACGTGCGAACAGCGCCCCTTGCAGCGCAGCGCGCGAAGCACAGCCCAACTACCGCGGAGCGCAGCCCAACTACCGCGGAGCACAGCCCTATTACCGCGGAGCACAGCCCAACTACCGCGGAGCACAGCCCAACTACCGCGGAGCACAGCCCTATTACCCCGGAGCCAGTCACACCTGCCCTGGCTGGGACACTGCGGTGTTCGGTGCGCGTTAAAGGGACCCTCCCACCTTCAAAAAGTTAATGAATTGCCATGAAAGTGATGTCGCTCGGTTCAGAAAGAGCAAAAACGAATATCTACCAAATTTCATCGAAAAATATTCACCGGTTTTCAAGATATTAGACTTTTACTTTTGTTTACTTTTTGGGATCTCCGCTGTTCCCAGCGACTTTATTTGAAAGTGCGGCACTTGTTGCGCGCAAAGCGACATATACCACCGCGTGCTACCAAACGCTTCGGTAAAATATTTAAAATCGTTAGATCTGCGCTGACGTCACAAATTCTAAGGAGGCATTCCAATGCATTAGCCCCTTAGAATCCGAAAACTGCAAGTTTGAAATTCCATATCTCCGAATTAAAGCATTTTTCGATGTTGTGAGTGCCCAAACTGGTATTTTCAGGCCATGACCAATTTGGCTATCTCAACTCAAAACTTATGTCAAGGTGGTATATCTCAGACACGCAACGCAACATAGCGTGCTAACAAGTAACAACACAATGTAAAATTGCCAGCAACGGCAGTCCCCACTAGGCCGGAGGGAGAGGCGTCTTCACCTGGGTTCGCGCCTCACCTGGGTCCGGGTCCACCGCTCACCTGGGTTCGCGCCTCACCTGGGTCTGGGTCCACCGCTCACCTGGGTCCGGGATCCACCGCTCACCTGGGTCCGGGATCCACCGCTCACCTGGGTCCGGGATCCACCGCTCACCTGGGTCCGGGTCCAACCCTCACCTGGGTCCGGGTCCCCCTTCACCTGGTCCGGGTCCCCCTCACCTGGGTCCGGGATCCACCGCTCACCTGGGTCCGGGTCCGTCTCGCGGTACCGCCCCCGGTAGGTGTCCGGCAGAGGCGCCACGTGCACGTGCCGCCGCCTGCCGTTGTTCTCGGGCGGCGCGGCCGGAAACAGTTTCGGACTGATGTCGGCCACACTGCCCAGGTTGCCGTGGTACGCTCTGGAGGCGGCACAGGGGACAGTTTGGAATTAATATACACTCTGAGGGCGGCACAGGGGACAGTTTGGGATTAATATACGCTCTGAAGGCGGCACAGGGTTTGGGATTAATATACGCTCTGAGGGCGGCAGAGGGGACAGTTTGGAATTAATATACGCTCTGAGGACGGCAGAGGGGACAGTTTGGGATTAATATACGCTCTGAGGGCGGCATAGGGGACAGTTTGGGATAAATATACGCTCGGAGGGCGGCATAGGGGACAGTTTGGGATAAATATACGCTCTGAGGGCGGCATAGGGGACAGTTTGGGGATTAATATACGCTCTGAGGGCGGCACAGGGGACAGTTTGGGATTAATATACGCTCTGAAGGCGGCACAGGGGACAGTTTGGGATTAATATACGCTCTGAAAGCGGCATAGGGGACAGTTTGGGACTGGTGTACGCTCTGAGGGCGGCATAGGGGACAGTTTGGGACTAGTGGTACGCTCTGAGGGCGGCACAGGGGACAGTTTGGGATTAATATAAGCTCTGAAGGTGGCACAGGGGACAGTTTGGGACTGGTGTACGCTCTGAGGGCGGCACAGGGGACAGTTTGGAATTAATATACGCTCTGAGGGCGGCACAGGGGACAGTTTGGGACTAGTGGTACGCTCTGAGGCAGTGTTCTAAAATTGGATTTTGGCTGGGTGTGCCGATGATGAAAAAAATCCTAGGATGAGAAAAAAGGAAATAAATAACCGAAGTATATTTGCAAAATGGTGCAATGCCAATTTGTATGCCAACGGATAAACCAGGATTTTATGTCAGAATCTTGACAGGGTGTGAAACAAAAGGATGTGGGTGCATCAACTGTCAAGTGACATTTAAGCTGGCTGTTGGGAATACCTGAACTCTTTTTTCAGAGATGAAGTAAAGTCGGTCATTCATATTTTAGGGATTAAAGTATTTTCCCCATTAGGTGTGATTTGCCACCAAAAAGTCTGAAAAATGGAACACTGCTCTGAGGGCGGCACAGGGGACAGTTTGGGATTAATATACGCCCTGGGGGCGGCACAGGGGAAAGTTTGGGACTAGTGGTACGCTCTGAGGGCGGCACAGGGGACAGTTTGGAATTAATATACGCCCTGGGGGTCCGCACAGGGGACAGTTTGGGATTAATATAGGCTCTGAGGGCGGCAGAGAGGACAGTTTGGGAAAAATGTACGCTTTGGGGGCGGTACAGGGGACACTTTGGGACTAATATGCCTATATTAGTCCCTGTACCCCCCCCCCCTCCGGGGAGAGGTACAAGGAACAGTTTGGGGCTGATGGGGGGGGGGGGGGTGGCACAGTAGCGGTCCAACCCCACCGTCCGGTGCGTCAGTCAGCGCTCACTGGCGGGTGGGGCACAGTCTGGGCGGCGCTCGGTCCGCACTCACCCCTCGAAGACGATGACGTCCTCCTGTCGGGTGTAGGAGCGCGCCAGCCGCAGCGCCAGGTCATTGGCCTCCGAGCTGCGCGGACGGGTCAGGTCAGAGGTCAGAGGTCAGTTCAGAGGTCAGCTCGGCGGCCGGCCGGCGCCCGTCGGTCTACGGGTCCGGGCCGGGGTCACAGAGGAGGTCAGAGGTCCCCGGGTCCGGGCAGGGGTCACAGAGGAGGTCAGAGGTCCCCGGGTCCGGGGTCACAGAGGAGGTCAGAGGTCCCCGGGTCCGGGCAGGGGTCACAGAGGAGGTCAGAGGTCCGGGCCGGGGTCACAGAGGAGGTCAGAGGTCCCCGGGCGGGGCCGTGTCATAGAGGAGGTCAGAGGTCCCCGGGTCCGGGCCGGGGTCACAGAGGAGGTCTGAGGTCCGGGCCGGGGTCACAGAGGAGGTCTGAGGTCCCCGGGCGGGGCCGGGGTCACAGAGCTGCAGGTACGCACCATTCGAACAGCACTGACAGCGGATACATGGCGGGGCCAGACGAGACAACAAACAGCCGTCACAGTGGAAATAGTCACAGACCTGTATGGTGACAAACAGGCAGCAACTGCAGGCCGGGATATCCCCCGAGTCGCTGACGATGCCCACATGAGCAGTGGTCCCTTTTGAAGCATTTGACTGGCGCCCTTCGTTGCAGTTCAGACGTGCCTTTAGTGACAGTTCATTATGTACAGGTGTGTATAACCCGAATGTGTACCCGGACCGGGCCCGTACCCGGATTATGTACCGGTGTGTATCCGGAGTGTGTATCCAGAGTGTGTATCCGGACCCGGACCCGGAGTATGTGAGTATGTACCGGTGTGTGTATCCGGAGTGTGTATCCGGACCCGGACCCGGAGTCTGTACCGGTGTGTATACCCCAAGTGTGTACCCGGATCGGGCCCGTACCCGGAGTATGTACCCGGTGTGTGTATCCGGAGTGTGTATCCGGACCGGACCCGTACCCGGAGTATGTGCCGGTGTGTGTATCCGGAGTGTGTACCCGGACCCGGACGTACCCGGTGTGTATAGTGTGTGTATCCGGACCCGGAACCGGACGTACCCGGAGTTGACCAGGTAGCAGACGCTGAGCTGTTCGGGCATCATGTCGGTGAGCTCCTTCAGGTACAGCGACAGCGCGTCGAACAGGAAGCCCTGCGCCCAGACCAGGCGCGCCATCTGCTGCTGGCCGCGCGTCACCACCAGCGGGTGGCAGTGGCCGACTGGGGGATATACAGGGGGATACTGGGCGTCAGGGGGACACTGTGGACCACCAGCGGGTGGCAGTGGCCCACTGGGGGATATACAGGGGGATACTGGGCGTCAGGGGGACACTGTGGGACCACCAGCGGGTGGCAGTGGCCCACTGGGGATAGTAGGGGGGATACTGGGCGTCAGGGGGACACTGTGGGACCACCAGCGGGTGGCGGTGGTCCACTGGGGGATATACAGGGGGATACTGGGCGTCAGGGGGACACTGTGGACCACCAGCGAGGGGGCAGTGGTCCACTGGGGGATATACAGGGGATGCTGGGCGTCAGGGGGACACTGGAACACCACCAGCGGGTGGCAGTGGCCCACTGGGGGATATACAGCGGGATACTGGGCGTCATGGGTACAATGTGGACCACCAGCGGGTGGCAGTGGCCCACTGGGGGATATACAGGGGGATACTGGGCGTCAGGGGGACACTGGACCACCAGCGGGTGGCAGTGGCCCACTGGGGGATATACAGGGGATGCTGGGCGTCAGGGGGACACTGGACCACCAGCGGGTGGCAGTGGCCCACTGGGGGATATACAGAGGGGATACTGGGCGTCAGGGGCACAATGTGGACCACCAGCGGGTGGCAGTGGCCCACTGGGGGATATACAGTGGGATACTGGGCGTCAGGGGGACACTGCCTCACCACCAGCGGGTGGCAGTGGCCCACTGGGGGATATACAGGGGGAACTGGGCGTCAGGGGGACACTGGGACCACCAGCGGGTGGCAGTGGCCCACTGGGGATCGTAGGGGGAATATTGGGCGTCAGGGACACACTCTGGGCCACCAGTGGGTGGCAGTGGACCATTGGGGGATATACAGGGGATACTGGGCGACAGGGGGACACTGTGAGACCACCAGCGGGTGGCAGTGGCCCACTGGGGATAGTAGGGGGGGACACTGGGCGTCAGGGGGACACTGGACCACCAGCGGGTGGCAGTGGCCCACTGGGGGAATATACAGGGGGATACTGGGCGTCCGGGGCACAGTGTGGACCACCAGCGGGTGGCAGTGGCCCACTGGGGGTGAGATACTGGGCGTCAGGGGGACACTGGGACCACCAGCGGGTGGCAGTGGCCCACTGGGGATAGTAAGGGTGAGATACTGGGCGTCAGGGGGACACTGAGACCACCAGCGGGTGGCAGTGGCCCACTGGGGGATATACAGGGGGATACTGGGCGTCAGGGGGACACTGGGACCACCAGCGGGTGGCAGTGACCCACTGGGGGATATACAAGGGGATACTGGGCGTCAGGGGGACACTGGACCACCAGCGGGTGGCAGTGGCCCACTGGGGGATATACAGGGGGATACTGGGCGTCAGGGGGACACTGCCTCACCACCAGCGGGTGGCAGTGGCCCACTGGGGGATATACAGGGGGATACTGGGCATCAGGGGGACACTGGGACCACCAGCGGGTGGCAGTGGCCCACTGGGGATCGTAGGGGGAATACTGGGCGTCAGGGGCACACTGTGGACCACCAGCGGGTGGCAGTGGCCCACTGGGGGATATACAGGGGGATACTGGGCGTCAGGGGGACACTGTGGGACCACCAGCGGGTGGCAGTGGACCACTGGGGGATATACAGGGGGATACTGGGCGTCAGGGGGACACTGGACCACCAGCGGGTGGCAGTGACCCACTGGGGGATATACAGGGGGATACTGGGCGTCAGGGGGACACTGGACCACCAGCGGGTGGCAGTGGACCACTGGGGGATATACAGGGGGATACTGGGCGTCATGGGGACACTGGACCACCAGCGGGTGGCAGTGGACCACTGGGGATACTAGGGGGGACACTGGGCGTCAGGGGACAGCCGGGAATATTGGGGGACACCGAGAGGACACTGGGAATACTGGAGGACACTGCAGGGGGACAGTGAGGGACACTGGGGGGCCTGGGGACACCAGAGGGGGACACCAGGGGACACCGGGGGGACACTAACCGTGTGCGGTGCTGCTGATGCAGTCCAGATACTCGGTGTTGGAGTCGTCATACATGTACTGCTTGGAGGCCCGCGTCAGACGCAGCGAGTCGCCGAAATGCAGCGGCGTGCTGCCGGGAACACACGGCACACAGGTCACAGGTCACACAGGTCATACAGGTCACATAGGTCAAACAGGGCACACACGTCACAACAAAGCAGCGTGACATACCCCGCGTTCGATGTCTCTCGGACGACGAAGATTCTACGCCGTCCGAGAGACATCGAACGCGGGGATAGTGAACGGCAGAGGATGGCGACCACAGGGGCGCAGCTGCCACCGAAGGGTCAGTCAGACAAACGGTGTTCACCACACAGGTACACACAGTCGCATACCATCCGGTGACAAACACCCACTCCCAGAAGTAGCTCTGTTTGGACCCATGTGAGCAGCGCAGGTCCTGACGAGGCACGCCGCCTCCCGCCACACTCGAGGCGATCCGACTGCTGGCGGGTACAGGTCGATCCTGGCGTGTTCTGGGGCGATCCGGCTGCTGGCGGGTACAGGTCGGGCGTGCTCCACAAACGGTGCTGCAGAGCGCGCCCTGCTGATGGTGCAGAGCGCGGCCTGCTGTCCCACCCCAGAGCCCGACACGCCTGAGCCACAGCCTGCGGTCACGTCTGAGCCGCTCTGAGCCGCGTCTGAGCCGCGTCTGAGCCGCGTCTGAGCCGCCCCGAGCCGCGTCTGAGAGTATCGGGCGGCGGCCGGCCGGACAGTCCCTTCCGAGGTATGCAATCCCACTCTCCCGAAAGACAGGAGAACGAGTGCAGCTCCCACCAGTTCCTGTAGAAAAGCAGTCGTCTAATGTCCGACCGGCATGGGCCGCAGCCCGCAGTCCAGACCCAATGTCCAGCAGACATGGACAATGGACATTGGACAGCAATGCAGGACTCATATCCGACAAACATCGCCTCTGGTAGCTCAGATAACAGCAGTTAGTTATCAGATGCTGCGTTGCGCTTGTTGTGAAGGGGAGGAATTGGTAGAACGTTCCGTCTCCAATAGCGATAAAGAAATAATGAAATAGTTCACCGTAGAAGGCTCCCGACTGTCAACAAATAATGTAAACAATCGTTCCTTCTCGCTCCTTGGAGCATTCATTACATCCCGACGGCGAGTCCACACAAGTACAGCAATAATACAGAAATAATGGCACTGCAGCGACGCTCGTCAGCCCGGCACGAGGCGCGCGCAGGGCGACCGGAGCACCTCAGCGCTCGGAGCGTCGGACCATATCCATCGCACCGCTCAGGGCGTCGAACCAGATCCATCGCACCGCTCAGGGCGTCGAACCAGATCCTTGACCACTATAAGCGTCGGACCAGATCCATTCACACACCGAGAACGTCGGACCAGATCCATTCACATACTGGGAGCGTCGGACCATATCCGTCTAGTTAATCGCTCGGGGCGTACGACCATATCCCCCTGAGCAGCAGGAGCGTCGGATCATATCCCCTGACCAGTAGGAACATCGAACCATATCCTCCTGACCAGTAGGAGCGTCGGACCATATCTGTCTAATTATTCGCTGGGGGCCTCCGACCATATCCCCCTGACCAGAAGGAGCGTCGGATCATATCCCCCTGACCAGTAGGAGCGTCGGACCATATCCGTCTAGTTTATCGCTCGGGGCGTCCGACCATATCCTCCTGACCAGTAGGAGCGTCGGATCATATCCCCCTGACCAGTACGAACACCGGACCATATACCCCTGACCAGTAGGAGCGTCGGATCATATCCCTCCCAGCGCTCAGTGCACCCAAGGACGCACAGCGCCCAGCGGTCAGGCAGGGCAGCCTGCCACGATCCCTCGGAGCTGTGTGCAGGGAGCTTAATAAAGTAATAAGGATCGCCATGAAACTGGCTGATGAAACCGTGCCGAGTTTTCCGGACAGCGTTGCGTCAGCCGCTGCCCGGATTCAGCCGCTGATCGGATTCCTATCGCGGACACTAGCGAGGGTATGCGCCGGCCGACTACCGACAGTACCGACCGCTCCCAGCCAGCCAGGGGCCGCCGACCGACAGCGGGGGGCCGCCGACCGACTGCCGACAGTACCGACCGCTCCCAGCCAGTCAGGGGACGCCGGCCGACTACCGACAGTACTGACCGCTCCCAGCCAGCCAGGGGCCGCCGACCGACAGCGGGGGCCGCCGACCGACAGCAGGGGGCCACCGACCGACTACTGACAGCGGGGGGACGCCGACCGACTACTGACAGTACCGACCGCTCCCAGCCAGTCAGGGGACGCCGACCGACAGCGGGGGCCGCCGACTGCTGACCGCTCCCAGCCAGCCAGGGACCGCCGACCGGCCACCGGCAGTACAGTACCGACCGCTCCCAGCCAGCCAGGGGCCGCTGACTGACTACTGACAGCGGGGACCGCCGACCGGCCACCGACAGGCGACAGCAGCCACGGTGTGCGCCGGCCGCTCCCAACCAGCCAGGGGCCGCTGACCGACTGCCGACAGCAGCCAGGGTGTGCGCCGGCCGCTCCCAACCAGCGGGGGTGTGCGACAGTGGGTGTCCGCCGACTCGAGCCTGCTGCCCGCGCAGTCCGGCGGGCGCAGCCTGTCCCGCCAGTCCAGCCGGCGCACCTCCCGCACCAAGGCCACGGCGCGGCATCGGTGACCGCCGCCCATCTCTGCTGTCGCCGGTGATCGCCACCGATCTCTGCTGTCGCCGGTGATCGCCGCCGATCTCTGCTGGCGCCGGTGATCGCCGCCGATCTCTGCTGTTGTCGGAACGGTCTGATGCAGCCGGTACCGCCAGCGTTCTGTGCGGTATCGGACGGCTGGTCAGACGCGGGATCAGACGGCGGGATCAGACGCGGGATCAGACGCGGGATCAGACGCGGGATCAGACGGCGGGATCAGACGCAGGATCAGACGGCGGGGTCCGACTCGCCGGTCCGTGCCGCCCCATGGTCAGACCGGCCGCAGAGGAAGTCGGCAGCCGTGGAGAAACCGTCCAGTGCAGACAGAACCCTCCATATGATCATCGATTCCCGATTGACAACGAGAGTGGCCGAGCTTGGTGCCCTGGCCAGTTCAGAGGCTGCAGAATGGCCTGGCTCCCCTATCCCCAGGGGACCGGCGACCCTGGTCTGCCCTCTGGACAGAGTACCCAGGTCAGAGTACCGCTCCCCACAGCAGCCGGTCACCAGCCCCTGAGGCCGACACGGGGAGAGCCCTGCTCCAGAAGATACCGTCGGCAGACCGGCACCGTCGGCACCGTCAATAAATACAACAAACGACGTGATTTTCAAACCGGTGCGCCGCCAGCAATCTTAAGAGCTTATTGGAGTTCTGGGTGGCTTATTTGTCTGACACCACTGATTGAAGAGTGCCTCCCCGTCAGACCAAAGGTCCCGCGATACCAACCAAAGGTCCGACCAAAGGTCCCTCCCTCAGTTTGTCTTCCCAGGCAGTCTCAGGGGGGCCGTCCACGTCCATGGATAAGCCGCAATAACGCTCCATCATACAGACGCCGACACGCCACTGTTTCATGTTAGAGCGTCCCGCCGCCGAGGTTTGTTAGTTTTATTGGTCGCAGGACGCCGGATCATCTGTAACCTGAACCCTCCCAGCACCGGCGGTATCGGCGGCGGATGGCCGGTCGGCGCGGTGACACTGTGACACTGTGAGTTGTGACACAGTGTCAGCGGTGACACTGTGACACTGTGTCAGCGGTGACTCTGCGGACGGGCGGTCGGCGCGGTGACACTGTGACACTGTGTCAGCGGTGACACTGTGACACTGCGGACGGGCGGTCGGCGCGGTGACACTGTGAGTTGTGAACTTGTGACACTGTGTCAGCGGTGACACTGCGGACGGGCGGTCGGCGCGGTGACACTGTGAGTTGTGACACTGTGTCAGCGGTGACACTGTGACACTGTATCAGCGGTGACTCTGCGCCGACAGCTCCGACCGGGTCGCTGACTCACGGCCACCGGTGATCGGGCGGCGACCGATGGCTCACTGCAGGGCCTCCCGAGGGGCGCAGCACGGTCAAAAGGTACCCGACGCACGGCGGAGGCGGAGGGGGGGGGGGAGACGCGTGTCCGGTCCGCAGGTACCCAACGCACCCCGCAGGTGCCGTCCACCCCGGAGCCGTGTGCACAGTGCACACAGTGGCCGTGCACACACAGCCACCCGCGCTCCACTTACGCAACAGCACGCGCGGCTCCTGCCGCAGCCGTCCCCCTCCCCTCCCCCTCCCTGAACCGCGGGACGGTCCAGAGGCCCGCGGTTTGCCGTCTGGCCAGATTCCGCGGGACGGCAACATCACAGGCTGGCCCCAGACTGCTGCGAGCCGCCGGTACCCTACCGCTACCCCGCCGGCACCGCGTTGGTACCCCACCGGTACCCCGTCTGTGCCCCACCGGTACCCCGCCGGTACCTTGTCTGTACCCCACCTGTACCCCGCCTGTACCCCCATCTGTACCCCACCGGTACCACGTCCGTACCCCACCGGTACCGCGTCTGTACCCCACCTGTACCCCACCGGTACCCCGCCAGTACTCCCCCGTACCCCGCCGGTACAGCCCGCCTGTACCCCACCGGTACCCCGCCGGTACCCCACCGGTACCTTGTCTGTACCCCACCTGTACCCCGCCTGTACCCCCATCTGTACCCCATCGGTACCACGTCCGTACCCCACCGGTACCGCGTCTGTACCCCACCTGTACCCACCGGTACCCCGCCAGTACTCCCCCCGTACCCCACCGGTACAGCCCGCCTGTACCCCACCGGTACCGCGCCTGTACCCCACCGGTACCGCGTCCGTCGGGGCCGTGGCCCTCTCGGCGCGGCGCGGCGCGGCGCGGGCGGCGGGCCGGCCGGTATTTCCGTCAGCACGTGCAGTGTACGGACCCTGTGACCCGGCCGTATCGAGCGTCCCGTCCCGCCGCGCCGGACCGGACCGGACCGGCCGCCGCGCCCGCGCTGCAGTTTTAATCCGTCCCGGCCACACATGCACGTATGGACGCTATCAGCCGGACAGATCACCGGTACAGGGGCGGCGCGTCTGGCGGCGGATCGCACCCCGTGGCCGGCCCGCGGAGTCTGTCAGTACCAACGGAGGCTGTTAGTATCCGCAAAGACTGTTAGTACCCACGGAGTCTGTTAGTACCCACGGAGTCTGTCAGTACCCACGGAGTCTGTCAGTATCCGCGGCCCATCCCACGTCCACCACCGTGACGTGAGCCGTGAGTCTGTGTCAGTCTGTATTGTATTGTATTGTATTGAACAATCATGAGCGATCCACATTCTGAAAGTGCGTGGCGATTACTGCTCAGAATCCGTATCCTCGGTTACTAATCTAAACATTCACAGCATTCACACATTCACTCACGTCAAAGCACGGACAGAGACACTTTCGTAGTACCACAGGTACAACTCACTGTTGGTCAGCGACGATCAGTTGATGCCCCGTCCACTATCGCGGCTTTAACAGATCGGGCAAAGGGGGCGGGAGACAGCTGCGACAGCTGAGTTGGGAGACTGTTGAGTAGAGCAGCGGCTCGATAGCCGAACCGCCGCCTACCCGTTTCCAGCCGTGGTCGCGGAAGGTGAAAGAGGTGGTCTTGCCTGGAGTGTCTCTCCCGGACAGCGCTGTTTGTGACGAACATGGTTGCCAATTCCTCGGGTTCGCCGCGCTGAATGGCTTTGTGGGCGATAACAAGGGTTTGGTAATCAGCCATATGACGCGGGGACAACCACCCGAGCTTTTTTCGCAGGTCAGAGACATGGGCAAATTTACGGCGACCGAAAATGACTCTAGCAGCGAAGTTCAAAATTTTTTGGAGACGATCGAAATTTTTTTTGGGACCCATTGCCATAAACTGAGAGGCAGTATTGGATGCGTGAGATAACGAGTGCTGTCACGAGCGTTCTAATGATGCCATCCGGGAGACTGTGGCGCGCATGGGAGAGACCGATCAACAGTCCCGTACACCGGCGGCTGAGTTCGGAGACGTGAGCGTCCCAGGATAGAGTACTGTCAAAAGTGACGCCCAGGTTCCCCACCTGCGCGCACGGCTGCAACGCTGCGTCACGGAACGATACCCTGAAATCTGGCAATTTGCGTAAATTTTGACGACTGCCGAAGACAATGAGCTGTGTTTTACTGGCATTGACCTTCAGGGCGTTAGCGCAGAACCATTCGTTGAGTGACGCGAGCGAAACCTCCATGCGCGAGATGAGAACTCCGAGGTCCCTGGCAGGACCGCTAACCAATACTTGGGTGTCGTCGGCATATTGAAAGACTACTGCATCACCCGCGTACAGCGATAAGTTGTTAGAGAAGATGGTGAAAAGTAACGGCCCTAACGCAGAGCCCTGGAAGACACCCATGGTATTAGGAAGAGGCCGAGACAGCACTCTACTTCCGGACCCATTTTTCAACGACACGCTCTGGGTGTGTCCATGAAGATAGGCGGCGAACCAGGAAATTTCGATACCGTGCAGCATAAGTTTTTGCATCAGAAGCTCGTGGTCTATCACGTCAAAACATTTACTAAGATCGAGAAGGCATAGCATTGAGATCTCACCCCTGTCGGTGGCGGCCAGGATGCGTTCAGTGACGGACAACAACGCGGTTTCAGTAGAGTGCCGGGGGCGGAAGCCGTGCTGTGAGGATGCCAGAAGGTGATTATGAGAGAGATAGATGTAGAGCTGCTGATGGACAATGCGCTCAACCACTTTCATGACTACAGGAACCAGGGAAATGGGCCGGAAGTTTGCGGGGTCTGAAGGATTGCCGGATTTGAACAGAGGGTGAACTATGGAATGTTTCCATGAATCGGGGATATCGGATTGAATTAAGCAGGTATTGATAATATGCAGGATGACACCACCAATAGCTCGGAATCCGGCTTTCAGCATGCGAACGCAGACACTGTCGGTACCGCAAGCACCCGAGCTACGCATGCTGAAAATCGTCCGCTCAAGCTCGGCAAGTGTGATTTCTCGAAGTTGAAAACTGCATGCGCCAACACGGGTAAGACGTACATTCAAATCGGTAGGTGCGTTTTGGGCTCGGATCTCGGCAGCGACACGAGGACCGACGGATACAAAGAAAGAATTTAAGTCATTGGCAGATAGGTCAGGCTGAACATCAGAACCATCCTTCTTACCGGCAACCACCGACCTGATACATTGCCAAACTTTGTTGGGGCCCCGTTCCCCGATTTCCCTCTGTAGTTCCACCCGCCGGTCGCGACGCAAAGCCGCCCGGACAGAGCGGTTAAGGTTTTTGTACTCGCTCGAGTTGCGGCCTAAATGGCGGAGCGCAGCGCGACGTTGGGACATGAGATCTCGAGTGGCGACGGAGACGGGAGGAGCAGTCGGGTTACGGATAGACACACGCTTAATTGGGGCATGTGCATCGAAAACAGGTACGAAGAAAGACAAGAAAGCATCCCACTTATCACTGACGGTTTCGGCGGAGAATACATAATCCCAGTCAACATCGAGTAAGTCATGGTGCAGTGCAGGGTGATCTAATCGCTTAAAGGAGCGAGACGAGATAACAGTGGGCTTTTGACGCAGTTTCGGCACATTCACAACGACATCGATAAATTTGTGAGGACTGAAGTGACAATATTTAACACGGGTGTCGCAAACGAGCTCACGGTTGTTAACAATACACACATCCAGGAGCGAGCCGGAGGAAAATGTTGCAGTTGTCACTAATTGATCTAATGAGTAATTTGATAGGAAGCTGCTTATGTGTTGACGCGCGCGGAAATTAGGCTCTTTCAATAAATCACAGTTGAGGTCGCCGCAGATGACAAGCGGAACACTGGGGTAATCGATTATAACTCGTTGCAGTTGGGCCTCGAGGTCCGTGAAGTCGGCAAGCAGAGCAGCCTCACTGTGTCGGGGTGGCCGATACAGGGAGCAGATGATCAGCTGCCGGCCCTGTTCAAGCTTTAGCAGCGCCCACAGTGACTCCAGGCTGCTGGCAGAGCTCCCACTGCCCGGGATCTTGAGTGCGGTTGACGTGATTTTAGCCTTGGTGATAATTGCGACACCACCGTAACCGCTACCATCTGGGCGGTCCACACGACGAAGCGTGTATCCTGGAATGACCAAGAGGCGGTTCGGGGTGGTCGAGCGCAGCCAGGTCTCAGCCAGAAGCATGACGTCGTAGTTGTAACGATTGAGCTCAAACGTCAGCTCCTGAATTTTGGGCTTCAGGCTTTGAATATTCAGGGAGCCGATGAGTAATTTGGGCGGGTCGGTCGGCCGGCTAGACTGGCGCTGAGTCTGTCGAGCGGGCCGGCCATGTGCTCCGTCCACTGGGCTGAGGGGGCGTGGCCGATTATGACGGCGGATGACATGGGCGGGAAGACTGCGCCGGATAGTCTCGGCGACTTCCCGAGCCGTGTTGTTGTTAAGCCGGTCACGCACCTCCATCAGAAATGCCAGGTCGTATGCACAGGCAGGAGCAATTTGGTCGTCCCGTCGATGGTTGATGTCAGGTGTTTGGCACTCTACACGACGAGACCCGTGAGGGGTCCCAGTGCCGGGAGCAGTCAGCTGTTCGCTGCTCCCATGTCCCCTCGCGCGCCGAGCGCGCCAGCCCGCGCGACGGCCGCGCCGAGCGGGCCGCCGGGGCAGGGGACGAGGGTCGGCCGGCATTGTTGTTAGCCGGCTACCGGCGTCCCGGGCGCCGGCCGGGACCCATAGGGCCTGGTCACCATGGCAACCGACGGCGGTTGGGAGGGGAAACTTGAGACTGTCACAGCACCTATGTCACAGTCTGTGTCAGTCTGTCACAGTCTGTGTCAGTCTGTCACAGTATGACACAGTATGCGTCACTATGTATGTCGCGGTTTGTGTCACTCTGTTACAGTCTGTGTCAGTCCCGACGGGTCAGTCGGAACCACGGCGTGGATGGCGACAGGTGTCCAGTCCAGCTGGTGTGTGTAGGTACGCCTGAGGGGCAGCACTGTGGACGAAGATCCCGCCCTGCCCCCCCCCCCCCATCCACAGTACACTGAAGTGCTAGTGAGCGCTAAATGCCCCCCCCCCCCCGGTCCCCGTTCAGCAGCCCGGCCGCCGCCGCGCCGGTTTCCGCCGCCGGGGTCCGCCGCCGGTTTCCGCCGAGGACGCCGTGGACTCACTTAGAGGCGTTCGACATGGTGGAGACGAGGGCCAATCAGGGGCCGCCGCCGCCGAGATCGGCCAATCAGGGCCCGCCGCCGCCGGGATCGGCCAATCAGGGGCCGCTGCTGTCCGACGGCCGCTGAACGAATACGACTCGTCTGCAACATGGAACGGGAAAGCACTGTCATACACCTTGTCATAGGATGCGTAACAGTTAATCTGAGCCCTGAGGGAGTAACAATCCGATAATTAGGTATGCACCAGTAGCAGTCTTTTGGGCGAAGAAGGAGAGAGCGAGAGAGAGGACCCTCATTCCTGCAAGTGCATACGTGCAGTAGCACCTTAACCCGCGCCCCGTAACAGGGGCGGTCGCAGACTTGGAGTTTGGGGGGGGCCAACTTGGCAAAGGGGCCCCTGCGCTGACCCGGGGGCCCGGTGCTAGCTCAAAGGGGCCCACGGGCGTAGTGCACGGGTACAGAAATCCAGGCCATGACCGGTGAAGCGGGGGGGGGGGGGGTAGGGAGCGGCACCCGAGCGGAGGCTCATTGCGAGCTTTAAGGGTGTACAATGTCGAAAAGGTACCGATAAGTGCATTTTGAATCATTGATATTGTCTATAATTCACGCAACTGTGAATGGACTACCTACCGCAAAAGTAAAGGCGGCTTAGGCGGCTAACTTTGCTATTTTCTAAGATCATCGTGCTAAAACTTTTGACAGTGGGTCCTCGGTATCTGTTCACTGTTCAATCATGTGTTCATGTGTTCCGTTTCATCTTCTCTCTTTTTTACTGGGCACAAATGTAAGTTTTGAAGACCATTACAGTATCAAATGCTTCGAAAGATGGATAGTGAGCAAAATATCCTAAATTTGTCGTGCTGCATGGAAAGTAGTGTTGCTGAGAAAAAGGGGGTTTTGTTCTAGACTATTGTGGATGCAGAATACATTGTCTGCACCCACTGCAGAATTGTGTTTGGTGCAACTGCGCCCACTGCACCCATGGTTCCTACACTTATGGGCCCATCGATAGCGCTTAGGCGATACCTATCGCCTAGAGGCTGCAATGGGGCCCTTAGAGTACGGTGTCAGACCCCCAGAGGCCGGCGTTGGACCCAAAGGTCAGCGAAGGGTCTCAAAGGCCCAGGTAGGACCCCAGAGGCTGATGTGGGCCTTCAGAGGCAAGTGCGTGACCCCCGAAGGTAAGGCTTGAGCCCCCCAGAGAACATAATACGGCCATCAGTGGCCGGTGTAGAGACCTCATAGGCCAGTTTGGGGCCCCTCAGAGGCTAGTGTGGGGCCTGAGGTGTCGGCATGAGACACTTAAAGACCGTTATGGGTCCTCAGAAGCCGGCATCGATCCTTCAGAAGCCAGTACGGGGCCCTCAGAGGCACATAAGGGTCAGTTTGGGTCCCAGAGACAGAAACGGGACCATCAGAGGCTGGTGTGGGACCTAGGCTGGTTTGGGCCCTTAGGGGCCAGTTTAGGGCCCTCAGAGACCAGTACAGGGCCTGCAAAAGGCAGGTTGAGACCATCAGAGACCGAATTGGGCACTCAGAGCCCAGAGGCAAATGTGGGTCCTTACAGGCCAGCTTGTCCAGAGGTTAGCGTGGTGCCCTAAAAGACCGACATGGGCCGGCGTTGGACCCCAGAGGCCAGTAGAGGGCCCTTAAAGGCCAAGATGGGCCCTCAGAGGCCGATGCGGGCCCTTACAGACCGGCATCGGGTCTTTAGAAGCTCGTGCGGGGTCCTCAGAGGCTAAGGTGGGTACTTACAGGCCAGCACGAGCTGTCAGAGGTCAGTGTGGGGCCCTAAAAGACCGGCATGGGCCGGCGTTGGACCCCAGAGGCCAACAGAAGGCCCTCAAAGGCCAAGATGGGTCTTCAGAATCCAGTGCGGGGGCCCTCAGAGGCTAATGTGGGCCCTTACAGGCCAGCATGGGGCCCTCAAAGGTCAGAATGGGACCCTAAAAGACTGGCATTTGCCGGCGTTATACCCCAGAGGCCAGTAGAGGGCCCTCAAAAGTCAAGATGGGCCCTCAGAGGCCGATGCGGGCCCTTAGAGGCCGGCATCGGGTCTTCAAAATTCAGTGCGGGGCCCATAGAGGCTAATGTGTGTCCTTACAGACCAGCATGGGGCCCTCAGAGGTCAGTGTGGGGCCCTAAAAGACTGGCATGGGCCGGCGTTGGACCCCAGAGGCCAGCGGAGGGCCCTCAAAGGCCAAGGTGGGCCCTCAGACGCCGATGCGGGCCCTGAGCGGCCGGCATTGGGTCTTCAGAATCCAGTGCGGGGGGCCCTCAGAGGCTAATGTGGGTCCTTACAGGCCAGCATGGGCCCTAAGAGGTCAGTTTTGGGCCCTAAAAGGCCGGCAAGGGCCGGCATTGGACCCCAGAGACCAGCGGAGGGCCCTCAAAGGCCAAGATGGGCCCCCAGAGGCCGATGCGGGCTCTTAGAGACCAACATCGGGTCTTCAGAATCCAGTGCGGGGCCCTCAGAGACACTTAAAGGCTGGTCTTGGGACTCGAGAGACAGAAATGAGGCCATCAGAGGCCGGAATGAGGCTCTCAGATGCCGGTTGGGCCCCTGAGACCGGTTTAGGGGCACTCAAAGGCCAGTGGAGGGCCCTCAGAGGTCAATTTGGGTCCTCAGCGGTCAATGTGGACGCTTGACCGCCACTGAAGGGCCCTCCGACGTCAGTGTAAGACCCTCAAAGACTGGTATGGGAGCTGTTAATAGCTGGCGTGGGTTTCTCGAGCCTCGTGACAATCGAATACGGGCCAGGGCCCCATACGGCCATGGGGGCCCAACGGTTGTTTGGGGGGGGCCAAATGATATGATGGCCCCCCCTGATTTGCCTTTGGGGGGGGCCATGGCCCTGATGGCCCCCCCCCCCTGCGACCGCCACTGCCCCGTAAGGCTATCGGCGCACCCTAGCATCCGTAGGGGGAGAGGCATTTCGTCCCCCTCCCAAGATCTCGGAAATTTACCGGCCGATTTTCAAAATCCAAACGGCGTTGGGTAGCCCTACCACGGAAATACCTTGTGCCCCAATTTCATTGACCTAGGTCCAGCCGATGACGTCACAGGTCAGGTCAAAGGTCGAATTTTCACCGTTTACAGGCATTTCAAGAAATGTGTTGTAAAAGCGAGTAAAAGGCATGTTATTGAAAATCATCGACGGAGGAATCGTTCGCAAAATACATATTTTGCTATTTCATGTCACTGATACCAGGTCAGGTCACAGAGGTCAGGTCACTGAGGGTCACAATACGAAAGTGTCGTGTGATTCATGTTTTATGGTCAATTTTACATGAAAAATGCGATTATGTGGGTCAGGCAACCTTTGGGGCCAGTTTAGCTTAGGTTATGCTCTGGTGACGTTCAGGTCAAGGTCAGGTCAAATAAGAGCAAATTTCAAAATTGATATTTTTGCATAAACTGGGCATTGATTGGATGTAGCTTGTCACGGGGAGTCTAATAGTGGTCTTTATTTTGCGCTACGTGGTCTAAACTTGCTAAAAATTGAGTTGGAAAATTTGACCCAATCAATTTTGAAGTCTTTTCGCTATAACTTGGCGAAAAAGGGGTTTAAATCTCAAATTTGGCATGTGGATAGACGGTGGTAGGGACTATCACACATATTCCGTTTTTTTTCGAAATGCAAAAAAAAACTTTGGGAGCTTTTGGCTATTATAGGTAGGGGAGGACCGTACAAGAGTACGCACCTAATGCATTTTGTCGTCTCACGCCGTTCGGTTTTGGTTTACGGCTACGATCAGTATATTCCGATAAAGCCTGATCATTTGTCCACAGACTGTCATGACCACAGCGGCCTACGTCCAATTTAAAGCGTGACCGTAAGCAATTTTCTAACACCCTGCATTTGCGTACTCTTGCCCGATAGGTAGTACAAGAGTACGCACTTCGTGCGGGTGGAGTACACACTACGTGTATGCATTCCTACTCGCTGGAATCAATGCATTCATGCAAGTAATTAAACTATTGTTATATTTATTGCTGCAGCCACTAAAACGGTCACTCTTAACAGAGTCGAGGCGCCCCGCTGTGGCCGTGCAAATGCCCCCTGGTCTACCAGAAACAGTGATGCTCTTCGTGGTTTCCCCAACTGCTCGGCGTCCCCCCCGAGTGTCATCCACCTTGTTGGCCAATCCCGTGAATCTGCTGAGGGGTTGCGCGCCTGATGTACTAAGTTGATTAATGCAACACAACCACGCACTCGGAAAACTGCGTACTCTTGTCCGCCACGGCAATGCGTACTCATGGCCGACACATACGGTAGACACAAAGCGGGCTGAGAGCTGGCGCCATAGTCGTCGCGTAAACAATTGGGACTTGACACACACACCAGATTCCCCGTGGTATCTTGATAGGAAAAAAATGAAAATTATATTGCCGCTCCCTGAGGAAGGTCACACCTTTTCCTGCACCCCAAAAAGTCTAAAAGCGATGTGAAAAACACGTCTAAGCCTCTAAAAAAGACAAGTGAACCCGTAGCGCGCCCACCTTCCACCATCCATCGAAGCCGCGTGAGAGACAGCTTCCTTAGGACTCGAGATGACGCTGATGAGGCGTTGCTAAGCAACCGAAACAGCTGCTGCGTACTCTTGTCGCCTGCGTCCTCTTACCCGCCCTTACCCTATATCCAAAAAATTAGTTTTTGATTTTTTTTGGGGGGGGGGGGTCAAAACAAAAAAATCCAAAGGAAGCTTTTTTATATCCCTGTTAAATCTACACCTTTTATGTCTTGAACATTTTTCTCATCTTCAAAGCTGAAGGCCTGACAGCTCTTCCCGCGAAACCTTTTTGGGTCGAAAATGACACAGCATGACGTCATTCTGACGTTATTTGCAGCCAACCTATTATAGTCAATTACGGGGTAGCAGGGATGGGGCTACAAAAAAAGACCGACCGCATGTCAATCGGCCCAGCGCTTTGGCAAGTCCTGGTATAGTCCAGTTCGGACTGGGGTGGAGGTCACAGAGTCCTCCTCCTCCATCGTCATCGTCCTCCTCTCCTGTTCTCGTTATCTGCGAACTGCTGGCGGCCGGGGTAGATCGGCCGGTGCGCCACAGTTTCCAGACCGGCCGGGCCCGCTGACCTTTCGGCGGCGCGGCTCACCGCCACAGAGAGCGGCGCACGTGTCCCGGCGCCGGCCGGAGGCCACTCGTGGGAGCGGCTGGTCGATGGCGGCGCCGTGTCTGACAGCCTGACCGCGTCTCCCGCCGTGTCTGACCAGTGGCCGTGTCTCCCGCCGTGTCTGACCAGTGGCCGTGTCTCCCGCCGTGTCTGACAGTCTGACCGTGTCTCCCGTCGTGTCTGACGGCCTGACCGTGTCTCCCGCCGTGTCTGACAGTCTGACCGTGTCTCCCGTCGTGTCTGACGGCCTGACCGTGTCTCCCGCCGTGTCTGACAGTCTGACCGTGTCTCCCGCCGTGTCTGACAGTCTGACCGCGTCTCCCGCCGTGTCTGACAGCCTGACCGTGTCTCCCGCCGTGTCTGACACTGTGACCGTGTCTCCCGCCGTGTCTGACAGCCTGACCGTGTCTCCCGCCGTGTCTGACAGTCTGACCGTGTCTCCCGCCGTGTCTGACAGTCTGACCGTGTCTCCCGTCGTGTCTGACGGCCTGACCGTGTCTCCCGCCGTGTCTGACAGTCTGACCGTGTCTCCCGCCGTGTCTGACAGTCTGGCCGTGTCTCCCGCCGTGTCTGACCAGTGACCGTGTCTCCCGCCGTGTCTGACAGCCTGACCGTGTCTCCCGCCGTGTCTGACCAGTGATCGTGTCTCCCGCCGTGTCACGGAGTCCGTTGGGACCCCAGCACCCGTTCGGCCCCGGATCAATCCAGAGCTTCGCGAGAAATAAAAATGAGCGTGTTCTCCGACGCCCGTGACGAGAGGAACCTGACGATACCCGATTTCAAGGTCCTAGGTTATTGGTTAAACTTTCAGATCAGGTCAATGTCCCAAAGATCGGGAACATCAGGACCTGCTAGAACTTCTTAAAAAGAGGTTGTTATGTTTTTCAACGTCCTAATTTCGAATTTGGTATTTGTTTAGCTCAAAGGTACACGCATTTGGGGCAGGTCGGGACAAGTCACTTCATTTAAACCAGGGCAGTGTTTCACTGGACGCTGCTACCACACTGCTCACACTGGTATCGCATTTCGCGAGCTGACGTCACATATGTGACACCATTGTAGCAGTGTTGGAGATACGCGTTTGTTGATGTCTCCATGGAAACCCAATTTGACAAGTGTGATAGCAGCGCGCTGGCAGCGGCCGTGAAACAGGGCCCAGACGGCGTCAGTCAGCAATCCATAGTAAGTCAGACCGCACCACTGACAGTTACGTAACATGCTGCACAGGCACCAAAACTTTCTCAAAGGAGTGCCAAATTGTAAAACGGCCTAAACGCTATCCTATATAGTTGTAAAATAATTGAGTCACCTGGGGTCACCAAAGGTCAATGACCTTGACCTGATCTTCAAGTGAATTTGACACCCACTATAATACATGGGACAAACATTATTTCAATGTTGACATGTTCCTAATCAACAGGTCTGGAAACACACAGATAATATGCGCCGACATACGCCGATGATTCGCCATTCCGGCCAGACATCGTCTCGGGCCACAGGTCAAAGGTCATCTGGGGTAGGACCATGACATTTTCAGGGAATGTGTGAATAAGATATAGATACTCAAGGGTGCTGAAAGTTACGTTGCAATCGGCTGCGTTTTTCGCGTAATTCGCGAAAAAAAAAAAAACGGCGGGCAGGCAGGGCCATCCGCCCCTGCCCCCTATGCTCGAAAGGGCTGAGGGTTAGACAGCTCCCTCGGCGTCTGAGTTTCGCAGCAGCGGGGGGCACGCCGTGCAGAGCACCCTGTGTTCAGGGCGGGGGGCACGCCGTGCAGAGCACCCTGTGTTCAGGGCGGAGCAGCACCGGGTGTCACAGGACCGCGTCACCTTACCAGCGGCGGGTGCAGTGAAGGGGTGCTGTCCAACAGACAGTCCACACTGTCCGGTGGATACCCGTCAGTCCACAGCAGACACTGGACACCGCCAGTCCGCAATGGGCGGACACTGAACACTGTCAGTCCGTAGCGGGTAGACACTGGACACCGCCAGTCCACAGCGGGCGGACACTGGACACCGCCAGTCCCCAGCTCAGACACTGGACACCGCCAGTCCACAGCAGACACTGGACACCGCCAGTCCACAGCAGACACTGGACACCGCCAGTCCACAGCAGACACTGGACACCGCCAGTCCACAGCAGACACTGGACACCGCCAGTCCACAGCAGACACTGGACACCGCCAGTCCACAGCAGACACTGGACACCGCCAGTCCACAGCAGACACTGGACACCGCCAGTCCACAGCAGACACTGGACACCGCCAGTCCACAGCAGACACTGGACACCGCCAGTCCACAGCAGACACTGGACACCGCCAGTCCACAGCAGACACTGGACACCGCCAGTCCGCAGTAGGCGGACACTGTACACTGTCAGTCCGCAGTAGGTAGACACTGGACACTGTCAGTCCGCAGTAGGTAGACACTGTACACTGTCAGTCCGCAGCGGGTAGACACTGGACACTGTCAGTCCGCAGTAGGCGGACACTGTCAGTCCGCAGTGGGTAGACACTGGACACTGTCAGTCCGCAGCGGGTAGACACTGGACACTGTCAGTCCGCAGTAGGGAGACACTGGACACCGCCAGTCCGCAGCACACACACGCCCCAGCCACTCGGCACCAGACAGCGCGGCGGAGACTCAGGGAGACAGGCTGTGGCCTCTCACTGCCGGCACTGACCACTCACTGCTGCGCCACCGGCCGGCACCCCCCCCCCGCCCCGCCCCCAGCACAGGGGGAGGGGGGCGGAGCGCGCCGACCGACTCCGACCCGCTCAGTCCATAGACCCGGGAACAGGGGGGGGGGGCAGCGGGGGCGCTTGCCCCCCCCCCCCCAACTTGAGAGCCGAGGGGGCGGCGCCCCCTCAACATTGTGGCGGCGAGAAAGGATCTTTCCTCACTTTTCCATACTTCTTTCCTTCTTGTTTCCTTTATGCATCTAAACATCAACACACGGCATTTTCCTTGCCATCTGAGTTGTGTCTGTTGATACAGTATCGATTTGACAACATCTGCTATTGTCATCCCGCTTTGGTTTGGGCCTGACCTTGGCCATAAGTTTGGCAGACCATATTTTATGCTGGACCATTTTGAGTCAACTTTGAGAAATATGCACATAACGTACAACGGTGGTAAAATCGTTGCTATAGGCATAACACAGTTTACACGCTCCGGGTGTGAGGGAGGGGTGTGGGGCAATGAGTGCACTTAGGTGGCGCCCTCGGAAGGCCGGTATGGGATAAAAGCTCAGCGACACTAAGTACTGGTGTGGTGCCTTCGGTTATCGGTAGCACCCTCAGAATCACCGGCGTAGGGCCCTCAGAGCCGCCGGTAAGGGGCCTTTAGAGGCACTGGGCCGTCATGCAGGTGCCAGTGTGGGCGCTCAGAGGTGCTATTGTGATTCTCTCAGAGGTGAGGGTCCTTACAGGCGTTGCTGTGGGCCTCATAGACGCTGGTGTGGAGCCGTTACAGACGGGAGTGGGGCCTTTAGAGCCGCTGACGCGAACCCTCCACAAGCCGGCAGGGGGTTCTCAGTGACCGGCAAGGGGCCCTTAGGCCGGCAGAAGAAGTTTTGTGGGGTCTGTGACGTCATCTTTGACCTGACCTCAGTAATAATTGTAGACCTTATCCGTGTGTACCCTGTACCGTTTACCACTTGTCGCAATCTTGCTTTGTTCTCGAGATCTCGCTGTCGCTCCCTCTCGTATTAATGGACAGGTCATAAAAATGACCTGACATGAGGTCAACGCAGGGCGATGGCCACTTTTTTATTATCGCATAAGACTGACAATTGATAAGGCTTTAATCGTCATCAGTCAAAATTGCAACTTTCAGTGGGGAAAATATCAAGGTCACTCTTTGAAAAATAGGTCAAAAGGTCACGTGATCAAAATTTTCAAAAATTGAAAATCCGAGATAGCAAAAATGTTTGTTGGTTGATTGTGAGTTGAACTATATAAAGTTTTTATCATAAAAACAAAAGTTTCTGAGTTATAACCCGCTAAACATAGGGTTGCAGCGTGACCTCCAGGAATTGCCCGAGGCCATATCTCGGAAACCGTTGTTCGAAGAAAAAAAATCCTTCCCACAGCTGGCTTCCCCGCCCATCACAACCTCTTACACCAGTTTTCAACGAAGAATAAAATATGTGGGTGCAAATTTAATTTTTTATTTGTCGATTTGTCGTGGAACAATGAGAAATACCTTTCATACTCGTTTGGCGTCAAAATACCTTAGTAATAAAAGTTTCGGCAGGTTCTGAAACACATTGCCAGAATATCGTCAACGAGAGTTAACGCATTAAAAAATTATCGCAAATAAAGTGGGGTCTCAAGGGGTTTCACGTCCATAGTAGGTGCCACCCCAGACTGGAAAATATCCATACACTACGCCGGACGCCCGTGAGACCCTCTTGCGCCGAAATTCGGCGGATGCGATTTTGCGCCGAAATTTCTGCGTGATTTGCGCCAGAAATTAGATGCCTATTTGTGCGAAAATTAAGCCCTTTTCATAAAAAGCACATGTGCACATCTACTGATCAAGGCTATATCAACCAGACAGTGTTTCGGGGCCTTGTACGCTCTCCCATGTTTAAGCGTTCGAATGAGTTTTTATTTCCACGTAAACCCAATACCTCGGCGGGAGCCAGCGAGGGCCGGGCAGCGGAGCAGCACGTGCTCCGGCACATCAGCCTCTTCTCGGCTCACGGTGCAGAGCGCCGCTGGGCACCGCTTGTCTGGGCACTGCTGGCACGCGGTGGAGTGGAGACAGCCGATTCGCTGCTGTACTGGAGCGAGCGGCCCCCGTGGCCCGCCCTCATCTGGTGCACCGAAATGGCATCCTCTCGGTCCTCTCCGGGGATAGGGAGCGGCGGTGTGCTCCCGAGGAGTGGCTTGAATAGTGATTCTGAGCAGTTGTCGCGCCACTGATGCGAGGCCGCACAATGAACCGCCCTGGTCAGCGATCGGGCGTTTGAGGGCAGGGCAGCCGCCTGTTTTGCCAGGTCGTCCGCGCTCTCATTCCTCTCGATACTGCAGTGGGCAGGAACCCACTGCTATTGCTTAACGACGCTTGGCAACGTTTAACAAGGTTTTCCATACCTATCTCTACGCCGAAGTTTGAGGCCTCACCTGGGCGGCCATTCCTCCGCTGAGTAGACTCGGGGCGGCTCGCCAGTTCGAGCACACGGCGACCGGTGCCGGGACGTCTCGTCCCGCAACCTCTCCAGAGCCGCCCGCGGGGCGAATCTGCTGCTAAGTGCTAGATTGACCAGCGTACCGCATAAATTCGGTGACCGTCTTTCGCCAAAAAATTATGCGACCGCCCTGCGCCGAGAAATTTGTCCGCCGCCATGCGCTGAATTCGGCGCCTGCGAAGTTACGCCGGACGTGCGCAGAAATTGTCTGCGCAATCCCGCCACTACACCGGACATATTCGGCATAACGTGTATTTTTTCCAGTCTGGGTGCCACCGACGACGTTACAGGTCAGGTCAAAGGTCGCATTATTCATCGATTACGGGCCTTCTAAGGAATGCGTTATAACATCGCAAAAAGGCATGCTATCGAAAATCATCGATGG